CTGGGGAATTCTGGGAGTTGAAGTCCACACTTCTTCAAGTTGCCAAGGTTGAGAAACACTGTTCTAGGGGCTAGAGGTTATAATAAAAACCCTCCCCGCCTCCGTCTTTGCTGCCTCCTGTTAACAGTAACAGTGAAAATGTGTCTTAAGTCCTTCTACTAACAAGAGGGTGGAAATGTTCTAGGCATCTGCACAGAGTGGGGTAATGAAAGACTTCTTCAATAAAATGTATATATAATTGCAGCTGGATGTTTTTTGATACTTTCAAGCTTCTGTTTGTAAGAGTGGATGACAAAATATCCCTTATGAGCATGCTGTGGGATGAGTGAACATTTTATTCCCAGGGCAGTGGGTGGAAACCTCACTGTCCTTTTGAGACTGGCGTAGCACCAAATTGTAGGAGTGAGGAAAGCAGAAAACAAAGAACTTTTTCTGGCCTGGTGAAGCGTCTTTCATGTTGATAGGTCTTGTCTATTTCATGTGAACAAGAAGATATTTTTGCATGATTACTGTAGAATTATTCCTGCATGAGTTTATATTAGTTTGTGTAACTTTAAGGATTGCCCATCCTCCTCTCCACCCCCCCTTTCAGCAGCAACTATGTCCTGAAATACACTGGAGCGTTTGCTCCAGCTTTCTGTCTGCAGATATATGATAAGCCAAGAACCGAGCTATAATAAGTTTGCACAACTTCCAAACTCTGGAAGAATTATCTTGGCATTGGCTGAGTATTTGAATATTGAATCAGCTTGCATTCTGAGACAGGTGAGTGATCTGATATTAGCATCTTTGAGCAAAACAAACAAACAAAGAAAAAACTAAGCAGCCCAAATTACAATGTATTCCATTCTGTGATTGAAACAAGCTAGTTTTTGTTATTTTAATTGGTAAGAGCAGGTATTTAGGGCACGGGCACCGTAATAGCTTTGTGAAAGATACACCTGTTTGAGTTTTTTAAAAAAGCTTTAACTTCTGAAATGGTCTTTTTTATTGGCTCATTCATTATGCAGAGTGGGAACAAAGGAGTTTTATACACTGTTTTATATTAAAGTATGTGTGAAAAATAGTTCTAATTCTATTAAGAGACTTATTAGCAATGAGACCACATAACAATTGTCTTTTTTTAAAACTGAGTACAGAAATGTGTTCTTAGATTCATGAATATGTGTATTCCTGTGCTAGGACAAGCTTCTGTAATCAGAATAAATAAGTAAATAGGGCATTTGCAAATAACTTTGTTTTGCGCCACTTGTTCTGCTTTTGAGGGCTTTCCAAATAACATGCTTGCAAGAACTGAGGGATAATGTTGACAATATGGTCAGACCAGTAGCAAAAAGCTGCAATTCTATGTCTAATTGCTTGTAAATGAGTAGAAATGGAGTAAGCTCATGCTGACAAATTTTGCACATATCTGTAGTTGTAACCCGTGAAAGGAGATCACCACCATCTCTGATTTCACATTTAATGTGATGGATCCATCTTCTTGGGCCTGATATAAGGCTGATTACCTTTGATCTTTTTATTCAAGGTGTTGCAAAGGTATAATGAAAACTTCACTTCTTTATTTGGTGTAAGAAAATGTATCAATCATTTTAAGGCATTAGATTGTACTCCAGGGACCAGTGGTGTCCATAGGGTGTGGTCAAAAAGTCAAGATGGTGGCCACAAGAGTATGATCAGCCTGTTTTTTAATGCACTATACACTTAAAAAGCAGGCTGGGCTATAATCACATTGTCATGGCCACCATCTTGACCACACCCTGCAAATGCCCCTGCCAATGGAAATGTGTTGTTACAGGTAGTCCTTGACTTACGACCATTCATTTTGTGACTGTTCAAAGTTACAACAGTGCTGAAAAAAGTGACCTACAACCGGTCCTTACAACTGTTGCAGCATCCCTGTGGTCATATGATCAAAATTTGGGTGCTTGTATTTACAACATGTTGATGAAGATTCTCAGTCATCTAGGTGGAATTATCTGGAGGTTGAGTCATGGCAAT